ATTCCAAATTTGGAATTCGAGTCATATTTCGTCAATTATTACGACTGTGCTTGAATCATCGTTGATCCCGATCGTGCGTGATCGTTTCTTCCTCTCGACGGGACGTGTTTCCTTTTCTTTTTTTTTTTTTTTCTTTTTTCAATAATCGAAATTTTAAAGCTACAATAAAATTCTTAATAAACGATCGGTTGACAAATTTCAAGCGTTCTCGAAAATTCGTCTCTTATAATCTCAAGCTTGCGGTGAAACAACGTAACATTGTTAAGAGTTCTTGGACTCGTTAACGAGTTGGAACGATTTTACGCGTGGCCATACCACTACTCCCTAAACGGACGTGTAGTCGCTTCGTATTACCGTGTTTAACGAGACCTCGTCTCGCTTGACATTTCTAATTATACTCCAACAATCGATAAATCGAAAGATTTTATAGATCGGAGAAAATAAGTGTTTTCGTTCCCTATATATATATATACACGTATATTAAAACGAGTCCTTAAAAAAATGCGAAAAAAAATACATATTCTCGCTCACCTGTTTTAGAAGAGTAGAAAGAGAAGAGGATGCGTTCGGTGCGTTCGAAAGGGTAATGGAAAGATTTACCGCATCGTTCGAACGCGTTGGCCAAAGGTTCACGTGCCACCACCTCGCACTAACACTGATCTCACCACCACCACCACCACCACCACCACCACCACTCGCACCAACACCAACCACCACTATCACCACTATCACCGATCTAGATATCGCACCACTGCCACCAATAATTATCGATCGAAATCTTTGGCGCGAATGTATTTATTTGGAAAACCGTGTGTCCGCTCCTCACGGCTGTATGCACGCCGTTTCATCCGAATTTGGAGATACGTGTTCGCCAACGACGATGATTACGGATCCACGGGAATGGAAGGTGTCGTTATTGCAAGGGCGAGACATGCTGCTCGAATCTGTGAAACATGTCCACGACGCGGTTATAACGCGAGCGGGAGGGGGGGGGGAGGGGAGGCCTCGTCGTCGCTCACCGACCAAGTATCCCTTGTCTTGCGGCGAGCACGTTGTCGGATAGTCGTCCGAGCGCGTTCTACCCCTACCGTTACCGGGGTTCGACTAAAGCGAGAACCGAACCTCGTACATTTGCGATACCCGAGCGCATGCTCTGCCTCTCCTCGTTCCCTTGCTTATTCTCTGTGTGTGTGTGCGTGTGTGTGCGCGCGTGTAAGTGGTACATAGTTGCCCCGTGTCGCACCTATAAAGGGTGGTCAAGAAAATTCTCGCGGAATCAAAATCCCATCGAGGGAAGCGTTCGCCTATTCGAGACCCTTCTTCTTTCCAGTCTTTTCTTCGCCTATGTAACTCGATTTCAACAACATTCGCCGCCATGGAAATGGTGGTTGGAAAAGCTCCCACGCCTCTTCGCTCGCGGCCTTCCTCGATACCCGTTTTCCATCCCCGCCAAATAACGAGGTGCAGGTTTTTTACTTACGGTCCTCCTATTCTTCCTATACTTTGTATCCTGTTTTCCTTCTCTCTCTCTCTCTCTCTTCGAGGAAACGACGAGGTTCGTCGGTGGGAAAAAGTTGTTTACGCGTGTCATTTAAGCGGCTTCTCGATATTTTTTTTTTCCACGCGTCACCACGCGCGCGTATTTTTCCAAACGCGATCTTTGCGAAAAAGCTCGTGCTCTCTCGAAAAAAAAAATATTCCGAAAAATATATAACGCCGCCCCTGTTTCGCGTCACCTCGCGAAATACATCCCGCTTTAAAAATATATAAGTGCACTTGAGCTTTATCAGACGCTCGCGCCAGATTCGTGTATACGTATAAATTCTCTGCTCGCGGATATAACGGGAACAAGGGTAAAAAAGAAAGTTGCGCGCGGCCGTGGAAAGCCGTGGCAATCAAATCGGGCCAAATTATATTCGTACGTTTAATCGGTAAATCCGGTTTCACGAGTTTTCAGCGCTAACTTTTAGGGTAGGCCGAGTAAGTTCGTTTCAACTTTCATCGTTCGTACGTGAACGCGTGGACATGGAAAAACGCGTAACGCGCTTATTCGCTCGCACTCTTCTTCCCTGTTCTCTCGTTATAACCGCGACGATTTTCAATAAATTCGATCGAACGAATGGTCGGAGAGGAGGAGGCTTGTTCGATGCGGTCGTGTGAGGTATCACAATCGAGAGGGGGGGGAGGGAATGGGGGAAAAGATTTGGATAAGATGGTTTCGTTATCGCTTCTCGTTAGCGGATGGCATCGACAAAAGGCGAGTGATATAGGGAACGTGGTTTGCAGGGGAGAAAGCTGAGCGCGGCCGCCAACAGCTATAATACTTTTTCTTCTGCAACGGTCATTATTCAACCGTAACCTGGCGGGCCCGCGACATTCGTATTTCCGCGCTATTTTCCTCCTTTTCTTCCTCCCCCCCTCCTTCTATATTAGCAAACGCTGTACACCGATCGTTTACTCGCTATTACAAATAATGGAATCGATTCCGCGTTCATATCCCCTTACTCCTTCTCACTTTTTCTTCCCCAATTTTCGATTTAACCCGAGAAAACCAATACGAATATCCGACCGCTCTCCCTTTATTCCCTTTATTCTCTTTTTCTTCTTCCTTCCTCCCTTCCTCGACTCTTCGTTATCGTATTTATTATATCTGGATTTTTAAGGAATACCGTTAATTCGTGTCGTATCGGAATTGCTCGATTGACCGGATGGAATCTTAAATTTGAGGAGAAAAAAATGAAAGAAATTTTCATATCGCAATTTTGTGCCTGGAAGGAGGAAATAAGCGTGGCATTATACGATATTCTTCCTCCTCCTCCTCCTCCTCGATAGAGAAAGGAAATTTAATCCGACAAAAGGTAAAAATTTCACCAACCGCGTTGACGTAGATCGAAAGAAGGAGTGGAGATGGGAAAAAGGAGGAGGAGGAGGAGGAGGAGGAGGAGATAAAGAGCTGGTAAAAGACGAATGTTTACGTGGTGGTCGTTGTATCGTTGAAAAATTGTTGTTGATCCTTTGGACGAAAACGAGGGACGCGCTTTAGTAGTTTTATATAATATGTAAAACGGGGGAATGATGCAAATGGAAACGTATACACGCTATCGCGCTACTTGAGTAATTAACGCCGGTGCAACGTTTGTAATTAATACGGCTCATTATCGTGACCAAGCTCGAATTTCCTCACATCGAATTGTCAGATGGTCGACCTAATTAATCAGTGCCATTTACAATTGGAATTACGCGCGAAACGAATCACCGTTAATTTTATCGCGCGCTAATTAGGAATTACTATCTTTTCTTTTTTTTCATTTTCTTCTTTTTTTTTTTTTTTCCCCTCCCTCCAACCGCGAATCGAGTCGTCGATGATCGTCGTAATGCGTTTTAAATACGAAACGATCCGAGCGGTGGTTCGGATATCTTGCCTCTTGCGGATCAAAATTACCTCGCCGAACTAGCTGCGCCAGATCTCAATTTTCTTTCTCCTAATCCGGTATGCGAATATTCGCCATCTTGAAATTCCTGAGCCCTCGTGAAAGTTTCACGAGTTTCGCCGATAAGTTTGTGTATCGCGGTATTGCAGCTGGTCGAGGTTGCCTAGTTTCCGTCCGATCATCTTCCACCTCCTCTCCGCTATTTTCCAACCCTTGTAGCCGGAGCTTTCCGTTCTTTAAAGAGCTCGATCGGAGGAGGAGAATCGAGACGCTCGAGAGTGAAATCGAAAAGAAGGAACGAATTACGGTTGTTGTTTAAAAAAACCCGGCCGAGTATCGACTCGAGCGGGGGACGAAAACGTTATCTTTTCTTTTTTTTTTTTTTCCGCCTCTTCCGCGAAAAGACCCTCGAGATCGAGGAAAGATCTCGATCGAATATTTCGACGCGGAAATATTGCGTTATATCTTATTGTATTAATCGTGGAATATTCGAAAGGACGGTTTTGCGAGCGGAGTCTAACTCGATTTTCCGGCGCGAATTTTCTTTCCATTCGAAACTACCGTTCTATCGCTTATCTCGATCGAAGTGGAACGTCACTCGCAATTACGACCGAGCAAATCGTGAAGCGAATAATCAAGTTTTTATTTTTCCCGTGCGCATCGACTAGCGCGAGAGAAATGGTTGAATCATCGGTAGGGATGGAAAAAGGAATGCCGTCGAGGTGGATAAGAGGGAGGGAGAGAGGAACGAGGAGGAGAAGGGAAACTCGTTTAACGAGCGTGGCAGCGAGCTGATACACGGAATACATCTGCAACGAGATGCAAATTACGGACTTTACGGAAGTATTGTTACGGACGTGAGACGGCATGCGCTTCAAATAATAAATAATCGGCCGATACCGTACCGCGCCATTTAAACGGCGGAGGCCGTAATTCGATCCAACATTCCATCTTGCCTCGGATCCGTTACTGTACGCGCGTACAAAGAAAAAGATGGAATCGAGGACGAGAAAAAGGTGTGCGCTCGAAAGATCGACGCGTACGCGACGTGATCGATGATCGGAGATACCACGTTATGGATTCTCGTGTTTCTTTTCGAACGAGGGAAAGGGAATGGAATTCTCGTTGAGAATGGCGTGGTCGGGCGAAAAACGAGGGAATCTCGAGACTCGTCGTCGGCTACTTCCGACCGGTTTAGCGTATTTCGGAAACTGTGCGGCGTAGACGGGACGACCTTCTCTTCCCCCTTCCCTCCCTTCCTCTCTCGCCTCCAACCGGTCCCTATGGCAACGCACTTAAGCTCGCTTTAGTATTTCGCCTCGGTGGGAGAGAGAGTTGGCAGCTTTCTCTCCAACCTTTCTCCAACCCCTCGACGACGGCCAACTATTGTCCACGCTGCATCACACTCGGCCAACTTGCTCTTTCCACTTTAATCACCCTCTCTTTCTCTACCGTCCCTCCGATTTAACTCGTTCACCTGTTTTCCCTTCCCGCTCCTCGCCCCTCTCCCTCTCTCTCCCTCTTTCGAAAGCCTTTAACCCACAGTATCTCTATCTAATCGTCGCGAACTCTCTCTCTCTCTCTCTCTCTCCTCCTCCTTTCTCTCTCTTTTATCGAATTCGCTTCTAAAACTGATCCTGATCCGTTTTCGATCCCCATTGTGCGTTTCCGCGCCGCGCCGTTTTCGTAAATACACGCGCGCTTCTTACGTCCCTCGCACTTTCACGCTAATACTCTTAACCGCTTTCAACAATTTTTCCCCCTTTTTTCCTTCCTTCATCTCTTCAACTTTTCTCTCTCTCTCTC